TTTCGGAGGTGGGGACGCTGTTATAAATATGAAAGTCTGAAATCTCGCCTCTCTTCTCCTTTCTCCCTCCAGACACTCTGCCCTCTGAATTGGAGAGAAAAAGGGGAGAATCATTTGGAGCACACAGACAGGGTGAGTTTGCAGGTGAAGATTGCCTTTAAATTATGAGAAAATTCTAGTGAAAACATCTTCATGAGATTGTAGCTAAAGTTACCAACCAAACTGACAGCGACCATGACACTTATAGTCCTAAAAATAACACATTAAATGGTAAGGAGATCCAAGGGCCAATGTTTCCCCCCCTACCCTCCACTTTTAAAAGTGGGATGACTAGGACACTTTTCAACATGGGCATAGTTTGGGGGAATAGGGCCATGTTGCCCCCACAAACTGCAAGTCTTGGGCAGATGTGAAGCATCGCAGGTAGTGTCTGTGCTCTTTGGGCAGGGAAGCTGATCAGCTCCTCTCTGTGTAGTGCAGCCTGTGCCCGTGGCACCAACTTCTTCCTGGTGCTGGCCTCCCTCAGTGGCTCCACCCCTGCTCCTCTTTCCCTGAGGCCCTGCCCCCTGGCCAGGTCAGAAGCCAGAACCGGGACACCACCCAGGGAGCCCAGACTGCACTGGGGAGCCCTGGCACACCCCAGGGAGCGGGGACATGGGCCGGGGGCTGCTCTCAGAACCCCAGACCTATGTCCAGGGCAAGTGGAGTGTCAGGGGGTCTCCATAGTGGGCAAGTCTCTCATCCTGGCCAGGGGTCAGGGCCTCGGTCAGGGCCACGGAGGGGGCGGGGCCACACAAACAGCCCTGACACCACCCTTAGTGCTCAATTCATGCCCATTCTGATGAACAGAAACACTCTTAACTGATCAGAGGGGTAGCCGTGTTAGTCTGAATCTGTAAAAAGCAACAGAGGGTCCTGTGGCACCTTTAAGACTAACAGAAGTGGGCATTCAACCACGAAAGCTTATGCTCCGATACTTCTGTTAGTCTTAAAGGTGCCACAGGACCCTCTGTTACTCTTAACTGAGTTGCACCCGAACAGAGTTCTGTGCCAGATCCCTCTGCTTCACCCGGTGCAGGGAGTCTCCTCTTCACTCTTCTCCAACATCCTGCGTTTCCTTTGGGCAGGGCTGGACTCTTCCATTGGAGCTGCTCCCTGCTTCCTGGATTGGGGAGATGCTCTTCCTGTGATTCCGGCAGCTCCTCCCTTCTCTCTGGGCTGGGGATGGGGCTACCCCACCCAATGCAACCTCCCGCTCTCTGGTCTTAAGCAGCTCTTCCCCAATGCTGCACCTTCCTCTCTGTTCCCTGGCCTGGGAGTGGAGGCTGCATTAGGGGAAGGAGCTTTCCTCGTGGGGCGGGGGAGGTTAAAGCTGCTATCTGCCTGCCTCTTCTGCTCCCTCCTCGATAAAAGCTTCTAGCATCTTCTCGGCTGTGTCTCTGCCACTATGAATGGGGCAGCACCAGGAGCAGGATCTGGGAGCTGCTGAAGCCTCTGTGATAAATGAAGCAAAAGAGTCCTGTGGCACCTTGTAGACTAACAGACGTATTGGAGTGTGAGCTTTTGTGGGTGAATAACCACTTCTTTGGCTGCATGTGGGTATTCACCCATGAAAGCTCATGCTCCAATACATCTGTTAGTCTATAAGGTGCCACAGGACTCTTTGCTGCTTTTACAGATCCAGACTAACACGGCTACCCCTCTGATACTGTGATAAATGAGAAACTAATGAAGTGGGACCCATTACAAAGACTGAGGAGCTGCAGTGACATCTCTGCTCAGTCTACCAGAGGCAGCTCCCTGGGATCCAGGCCTGTCCCAGCCAGAACAGGGCTGCTGGGGAGTGTGAGAAATGGTCCCAGCCTCCCCCGGGGCCAAGCTCTGCCTCTAACGCTCTGATTCTCTCTCCCCAGCGAATGTGACTCTGGATCCAGACACGGCTCATCCCAAACTCGTCCTGTCTGAGGATGGGAAAAGTGTGAGATGGGGAGACACACGGCAGCGACTGCCCGACAACCCTGAGAGATTTGACGCTTGGTACTGCGTGCTGGGCTGTGAGGGATTCACCTCAGGGAGACATTGCTGGGAGGTGGAGATGGGTGATGGGGAACTCTGGGCTGTGGGGGTGGCCAAAGAGTCTGTGAGGAGGAACGGAGAGATCAGCCTCAGCCCTAAGTGGGGGATCTGGGCTGTGCAGCGGTGCGGGGGTAAGTTCCAGGCTCTCACCTCCCCTGAGACCCCCCTGCCCCGGCGCCGGGTCCCCAGCAGGATCCGGGTTTGTCTGGACTGTGACTGGGGGCAGGTGACATTTATCGATGCTGGTGACGAGGCCCCGATCTTCACTTTCCCGCCGGGCTCCGTCCCTGGGGAGAGAATCCGACCCTGGTTCTGGGTGCGGAGATCCTGGCTCAGACTGTGTCCCTGAGAGACACAGCAGAAGGGGGAACCGGAAATCAAACTCTCTACCCTCACACACCCTAATCTCTATGACCGTGGAGGACTCCCATCTACCCAGCCCCTGGCTCCTAATCTCTATGGCCTCTGGAAGCTCCTTCCCCTCACTCTCTGCAGCCCCAGGGATGGGAGGGGGAGGGGAAAGACCCCTGGGACTGCAGGACTCGGAGGAGCAGAAGGGCCCTGAGGGGTAGATGTGGGGGCTGGGCAGGGAGTAGAGCTAACAACCAGGCAGGGGACAGGCAGAGGTGGGGCCTGGGCAGGGACAAAGGATGAATCGATCATGGTTTGGGGGGTTAGGGAGAAGCAGCAGCTGGGGGGAGTGTTTTGTACAGATCTGTGTCCTTAGATCTCATTGGTGTATCCCCGCCCGGGATCAACAAGAGGGGAAGGGATAAGATCAGGGAAAGAATAGAGCAGCCAAGGGGGATGAACTGTGATGGGGGAGAGACACAGGAAAATAAAGAAGGATGGAAAGTGAGGGCTAAAACAATAATGAATAGAAAGGGAGAGTATGAAAGTAAAGGGAATGTGAGTGGGACGGAGAGATTTATTACGTGTCACTGAAAGTGAGACTGTAACTCATTAATTCCCTATACTAATTCCTGGCCATTGGTGCTATTTTAGTGCCATAAAGAAAACTGTTCTCAGTAGCTGGGGATCTCCTTGCCATGCTGCAATTATTAAAGCTCCTTCTTAGCTCCTTTTACTTTGCTACTTTCCAGCTACTTACTGTAAAAAAAAAAAATTACAAACAATTCTTCTTGTTTGTTCCCCTTTAATGTCCCAGTTGCAGGTGCTGGGGGAGCGTCATGGGATTTGCTTCCCAACTTGGTTGTGTCCCCCCAGCACCCACAGGGAATATTGCACCTCTAGGAGGAGAGTTTGGGTTTTACTGGGATGTGTCACTCTCCAGCCTGTGCTCTGTCTCTGTCCTGTACACACCCATGTCAATCTGGAATTGCTCAGCTGTGCTCTGTGGAGAGGTGACTGGTTGCACAGGGTGCGATCCATGCAGGGACTCGGGTGTTGCAATGCTGAGCATCACAGTGAGTAATTTTTAGGCAGCGAGAAAATCACAGGAACAGCAGCACTGTGACCCTCAGAGCTGAGTCAGGGGCCTAAACTCCCTAGACAATCCATGGGTAACACAGGCATCTTACAATGCGATTCACAAAAGCCATGTCAGCTAGCCAATGGGAGATGCCGACAAGGGGGAAGGGGTGTCCTAAACCACACCCCTCTCATGAATAGGTGCCTAAATCTGGGCTGCAGAGGGTGTGTGTCTCTGCTTAGCAACCC